TGCCATCCAGTTCAAAAGGACCCAGTCCAAGACAGTTTTCTCGTTATAATTTGCTTTTAGTATATTCTTTTATGTTATTTAATAATGAATTTATACCCTCCAATCCAAGAATCATACTTCTTCAGCAAATGGTAAACTGCTAATGGACAAATGCCATACAGTTCAAGAGGACCCAGTCCAGGAAAGTTTTCTCGTTATATATTGATGATAATAATGTTATTTAATAGTGAATTTATACCCTCCAATCCAAGAATGATACTTCTTCAGCTAATAGTAAACTGCTGATGAAATAAATTTTAATGGGCGTTAAGATCGAGAAATGGGCGTTAACATAGAAACTATCGGAAACAAGAAATAGTCATCTTATCCGACAGTCAAGCAGCAAAGAAAAGCAATATTATTGGAATATTATAGCTTTTTTTCCTTGTATTTATACTCATTCATTGTATTTACAATTGACACATTGTAATGTGTTAATTGTAAATACCATGTATGGTGATGTACAAAGAAGTGTGCAAACTTGTCTTTCTATTTTAACATCATCACAAATACGGGAATTTCTATTTTTTTACAATAATTACAGACTTACTGTCATTAATTTTGCTACGTGATCTTATCACTCTTCTGCACTTCGGACATTCAAAAATCTCATTACTTTGTCGTCTCTTTACTTTCTGGTTACCTTTGTTGACTGAGTTTACAATTCTTCTCCATTGCGTTCTATTGTGCGCTGTTTCCTCCCACTGATTCTATATGCTTGTCCCCTTTAAGTTTTCATGGAAAATATCCTTGTATCTTTTGAGTTGTCCACCCGGTTTCCTCTTACCCTCTACAAGCTCACCGTAAAGAAGAGATTTTGATGGGCGGTTCTCTTGCATCCTGCATACGTGGCCAGCCCATATTAAGCGGGGTTTAGTAATCATGACTTCAGCACTCTCGCAGCTAGCTTTTTCAAAGGCTGATACGTTTGAGACATGGTGGTACCATTTGATTCTTAACAACTGTTGCAACTTGCTTAATGGTTTCACTACATAACATGGTGGGGATTGTTATTGCTCGGTACACTGCAAGTTTTGTTTTTGTGCTCAAATCATGATTGTAGAAAACCCTGTCTTTTAATTTCCAGAATGCTCTTGAGGCGCAGCTAATTCTATGCTGAATTTCAGAGTCGATATTGGCCTTTTCCGATATCAAACTGCCGTGGTAATTAAATTCCGCTACATATTCGATTAGTTCTTCTCCGATTTTTATAGCACTTTTATGATTTTCCGGGCGAGTGCACATGATTTTAGTTTTATCGATGTTCAGCTTAAGGCCCAAAACCTCTTATACCCAGGTATAGGTATGTGTTCAGGAAGAAATAATTACAGACACTCAGAACTGAACTCCTAATTTCTTGAACATCTTTTGAACATTTCTTGGAATGTAATTTACCTACCTTCGAAATTGTGTCTTTATTATTTTACTAATTCCTATTTCCTGCAACTCTGATTTATTTCGTTGAATATTTTTTTAGCATATACTTCTTAGGTTAAATATAAACTAAATTTATATAGAACTATTATGTTGCTACTTAAATTATTATAAGTAGATATTTATATTAGACTACAATTTGAATTAGAAGAATATTTTAGACGAAAAAATATTTAAAAAAATATGTTTTGTATTTCAATTATATCTTTAAAACATATTTTTATATTCATTAAACTACATTGACTTTTCTTAACGAATGAGCAGTTTAATTCTATAGGTATGAAAATACTATAAAATAAACGAGAATTTTCAGCTAGTTTCGACAGTTTCTAGTTAGGTATAATAGTTACTGTTATTCGCAGAATATGAAAAGTTCAAGCTTGCCTCGTAATTATATAGTTGTAATTGAGGTTCTATGACTTGCCACTTGTCTTTCAGGTGCTTTAAACCTTTTATGGGAAAGTACAAGGTGGTGCTGCACTTTGCAACTGCATAATTACTGCAATAGAGACTGCAGACGATCATCTAACAATTATGAAATGTATTATTTCAAAGTAAGAAAATGTGATTTTTTAGATAATATTTTAATAATACGTTTGGGGATTTTGTGTTGCTTCTTCTTGCGGTTTCTTCTAAATATTATGTTAAAAGACATATGAAAAAAAACCAATCAGTTTAGGAAAAATGTGTATATATTATTAATTTATATTCCTATTTAATTTTGCTTTCAAAAACACATACATTTTCTGTTATTTTGTTAAGTATCTCCAACATTTCATCCATCTCATCGAGTAATACAAAGGACGTTTCAGATAGCCGTCCTCTACATTACATCGCTTCATTTTTCATCGAGAATATGTTTTTCGATATGTTGTAATGTATTCGGTAACAATACAGAAATTTTCAGGTCAGATATCCAAAAAGCTTCTCGGACAAAAGAATGTGTGAAAGCGATCCGACGAAATAGAATATCGTAAACCTTTATCTCGAAAAATAAACCGTAGAAATATTTGACAGGGTCTGAAATACCGTAGATAAGAAGAAATTGGTCTGAAATGTTTATAACTTCTAATTGAAGTAATAATTCTTTAGTTAGATTTTTTCTTTTTTTTGTCTTTATCTTTAGTGTATATATGTTTTCGATCTAATGGAACTGTAAGAATGCTGTGGCGTTCATGCCCACTCTAAAAAAGTAGGGAGGTTAAGATAGTCGTTTTAAAAGGTATACTACTTTACTACAAAGTGTGTAGTTAAGTAGTAAACCTAAAGTGGGCAGATAGAAAATAGAGAAAAGCTCGAATCAAAATTCTTAGAATATCTTGTTTAGTTACAAAATGTCATTACAATATAAAGCTTGTTTTCACAACTTTCTTGAACCTTCAGGGCACCTATCCCTAAAATTTTAAATGGCAACCCTTATTTCTTTTACCATCTTTGTATTCCATATAAAATTCTACACAAACTGCATTATTATTTTGTCAAAATTGTGATACTTAACCTCACAAATGAATGAAATGTATTTAATATCTTATTTTAAAACGGATTGCATTCACCGCCTCATAGAACTTCATTTAAAAATGTTTGTACCTACCAATACTATACATTCCAAATTCCTTTATTTATTTACATTTCGTCTTCGATATCGCCACTACAAAACATAAAGTAATTTAAATTTTTTGCCATTTTCGACAAAACAAGATTCTTGTTTTGCTTATTCCTGATATTTCGAACAAATGATAAGTAGGTACTTGTTCTTTATTTTCCGACTCCTGGTGTTCATTATTTATTTCCTGTTCTTCCAGAATCAGTGAAATAAGCTGTGAAAGTTAATTTCACAAACAATATCAATACTTGTCAATTATTAGTGTTGTTTCTTAAAATGGTTTACACTATTGCTGAACGCGTAGAAATGATTTTCATTTACAGAGCTGAAAATCGCTGCTTTGCAAGAACGGCGGCCGCATTCAACGAAAGACATCGTGAAAGAAATGTTGGACACAAGTACATTTGTGAGTTAGTAGCTAAATTTGAAGAAACAGGATCTGTTTGCCATAAGAAAAATGAACGAGCCAAGACTGCTCAATGAAGCCGCTCAGATTGAGGATCTTGGTGAAGTTGCTATGGCTCCCACTACGTCCCTTCGTAAAGTTGCAGATCAAACTGGACTGTCGCGTGAGTCAGTCAGGAAAGTATTAAAGCTTCACAAATTTCATCCATACAAACTCCTAATTACTCCAGAATTAGGGGACGATGACCCTGACAGACGTATTGAGTTTTGCGAAATTATGACGGACAAGATTATTACTCAGCCCAGGTTAATAAAGAATATCTGTTTCAGTGACGAATGCACATTTTACTTAAATGGCAAGGTCAACAAACAAAATTGTCGTTATTGGAGCGACATCAATCCTCACATTATTAAAGAGGGGTACACAATACCCTCAAAAAATAAATGTCTGGGTGGGTATATTAGGCAATAGTATTATCGGTCTTCTCTTCATTAATGAAAATCTAAATGGTGAAATTTATACAGAAATATAATAAAAAATAATAAAAATATTTATAATAAAAATCCCAGACTTAGCTGCACCACGTCTAATAGTTCAAGGAAAAAAAAAGAAAAACGACAGCCAGGAATGCAGCAGGACTTCTTAGAACTCGATCTCGTCGTTTCCTGTCGAAGCGAAACGGATACCTTATGGCCGCACTTGTGAGGTCTTCCAGCGCGGTTTCTCTATCGCGAAAAGGCGACCCGATCGGGGAATGCCCTCAGATAACGCCACCGATATCTCGCTAACCGAACGCTAGAATTTCAGGAAACCCAAGGAAGATAATGGTTTCAAATTGTTCAAGACCGCTGGCGTTGCTGGTACTAATTGCGTAACTTATGTTGTCCGCTTGGAGATATTTAGAAGGTGCTTTACGAAATGGGCTACAAAATTTCAAAAAGGGTTTTCAAAAGATTCTTCAGTATCAGATTCTGTCAGTCAGAAGAAGAAGCGACACGACAGATTTTATATCAGCGTGATAGCCTGGTAAATGTTCTGTTCTTTATGTTACATTGGCAATGAGATATATGGAAGGTTCGGTTTTCCAGATATCTAATTACATAATAATTGGTGCTATAAACATTACATATGCTATTATTATCAATAATGACATCAGTAAATAGGCCCGTTAGGGCAAGGTAGACGTATTGATATTACGGCGACGGCGACGTATTGATATTAGGGGACGTATAGATATTATTGAAATGTCTCTAATGGGGTAATTTAATTTCCTCTTTACTTTATTATTATTTCTTACTTGGGGGCAAATTTGCTCCTTAAATGTCAAGTAATGTTTGCTGTTAAGGCGAATAACATTTAGATAAAAATCCAATTAGGAGTTTTTTTTGTAAATTTTTAAGGATATAATTTTTTTTTTCTGAACACTCACAAATTTGTTTTGCGAATTTTTAAGCAGCTTTTTTACAAATAAAGTACTATATTTATAATATTATTTATATCTTATTATATTTTTTACAGGTACACCAAATGGCAACTGCGATATCCAAATACCCAACAATAGAACTCTAGTGATAAGCAAATTACTTAACAGGTAATTTTTTTGAAATTATTATTTTTATAAAATACATTAACGCCTTATATCGAAATACCCTGGAGATCCAAAACATTATAAAAAATAATTTGGTTCATTCGTGAGAGTTTAAAATATACAAGTTGAAGAAAGCAAAACGTTCAAAGAGGACAGCAAATGTGGTGCAAAATTATAAGTTATATATTTTTTTTTAATTCGGACATTATCAATGTATAGAATATAGAATATACCTGGTGCGTCTCAAAAGTGGCTCACCCCCTATAACTTTTTTATTTTTTTCAGATAAAAAAACGAAATTTGGTATGTTAGTATGACTTTAGCAAATTACTTATCAGGTAATAATTGTTCTTCATTCCTGGGACTGTAATAAAACGGTGTTCCTGCCTTCCGGCTTGCAGAAACACTAAGTGTCTACGGGTAGTCATGTTTTAGACATGTTTTCATGTTCGTGGCTAATCTTACTGTAGGTCAGGGGCGCATATACGGGAGAGGTAATGGGGGTAATTACCCCTCCCAGAAAGAAATTAATTTATTTTAATTATTTCTTTCGAAAAGCGACAACTATGAAACTATGAAACCTTCCCGGACACAAACGATACATTGTGAGACAGGAAATTGTAGAGAGAAACAAGCCCTATAACATTGGATACAACATTTTAATGAACAGTTCTTTCCATAAAATCAATAAAATGAAAAATATACGAAATAATATACATGTACTGATTTCTTTCGAAAATCGACAACTATGAAATTATGATCCCTTCCTGGACACAAACGGTACATTGTGAGACAGGAAATTGTAGAGAGAAACGAGCTCTATAACATATATACATCATTTTAATGAACAATGATTTCCATAAAATCAATAAAATGAAAAATATACGATATAATATACATGTACTCATTTCTTTTGAAAATCGACAACTATGAAACTATGAACTTTTCCCGGACACAAACGGTAAATTGTGAAACAGGAAATTGTAGAGAGAAACGAGCCCTATACGGGAGGGGTAATGGGAGTAATACCCCTCCCAGAAAGAAATTAATTAATAAGATGAAATTTGGTATAAAATAAAATTATTACAAAAAAGTTAATAATACAAATTAAAACAGAATATCCAAACCAATGCAAGTAGATTTTTTCCACAGTTACAATACCTTCCAACAAAAATTTAATTCAAATTTAGTACTTTTTTGAATATTCACACTACACCTCCCAGACTCAATCTCTAGATGCGCCACTGCTGTGGGTTTTGCCCGATAATTTCGTTTTTCTTTTTAATTCAAGCATACATCGCTCCATAGGTTTTTGTGCTGCCTTTGAGTTTTATTATGAATTTTTACTTCATGTCTAATTCTGAAAGCCGTATGATTATACGTTATCTGTGGCCGTATGTCATGGGCAGACTGATAGACTGATTAAGCGGAATTGCATTCTAAACTTAAGATGATGGAATTCCGCTTGAATGCTTTTTATAGCAATTAATTAATTCAGAAGAATATAGCAATTAATTAATTCAATTAAGAAGAATAATTCTGCTAATTTCCGGAAGAAGTAAATCGGTGTATCAATTGACCCGAAAAATGAAAGTACCATGTAGTTTAGTAAACCCTATATATTTTTCAAAAAGGATACATATACAGGGTAAGTATTAAATAAGTGCAAATACTTTTAAGGCTGGTAGATCTCCATAAAAGGGATACATTTTCTTTTTGCCCTTTTCAAATCAGTCCAAAATAGTCGAGCTATTTTACTTTGAACGTTAAAAAAATGATTTTTTTTGCTTTAGTTTTGAGAACTACTTTCCAGTTCCAGTTTCTCTAAATTTAATCTACTGTCTATTATCAAAGTATTATATTCTACTGTATAACTGAAAATTAAAAAATTACAAAAAAATATTTGCAAAATGAAATATACCTACCACCCCGAAAAATATTTGCACTTATTTAAGGCTCACCCTATACATAAGTATATAAGACATATTTTTCTTTGAATGTGGTAAACAATGATTCAGTATTGAAAATAAAAGAGTTTGGGACTTCCATTGTCTTTATTTATTAGCCGACCATACCAATAGGTATGGTAGGCTATTAAGATCGGCAAAAAAAAAGTTTTTTAATTTCACTCAAAATGGGTTATTTGGGTCATAAATGACCTAAATACAAAATATTTTCCTTGTGTCTGTCTGTCTGTCTGTCCGTCTGTAACACGATAACTGAAAAACCGCTAAACCGATTTTAACCAAATTTGGCACAAAAATATTGTGGCACCCGAGAATCTGGCTATTAGTTTTTGGTGGGGGTGGGGGGTTGGTAAGGGGGTATGGGAGGGGGTTAAAATTTTAAAAAATTGTAACTTCAAAATTACAGTAGCTAGCGAAACGCGGTTTTCAATTTAAGATTAGGAATAATATTTGCAACAAAATTTGTAATAACATCAAAGTCAAAGTCGCAGTTTTTGAGATAAAAAAAATTGGAAAAATTCCTTTACTTTGAAACTAAAAGAACTGCCTACCAACTTTTTATTAACATATTTTAGTATGGGCGGCTATACGTGCCTCCCGGCGCCAATTTTTTTATTATTTTTTATTAACACAACACACAACGTTTTTTATCAAGTGTAGAATGTATCAAGTGATCCTTCTGACCGAAACCACAAATTACCAATAACAGATGCGAAAGAACACCGAATTACGCGTTCAGGTTTCTGTGACCTTTAGAAAGAGTTCATAGACAATCTGCATCAATGTATAGTTTGGGTTATTATTTGTTTGGGTGAAAATAATCTGCACCAATATGTTATCGAGGCATACAAAAAGGTCCACAGACTTCGAGACATACGAAAAATCAAGTCCATTTAGCGTGTGTCGCAATTTTCACACCTTAAAAAATTAGTTTTTCATAGCTATAGCAACTGCAGCGACTATGAAAAAAGCTGTCTGATTTGCATAGAAAATAAAGACACCTCTAATTCATTTCAGAATGTTATAAATCGCTAAAAGAGGTTTCAAATCTCTTGGATTTCTATTAATATTAAATAAATTTTATTAAAAATTGAACTAAAATTGTTAGTATCATTAAAAACAATTCAAATTCAAAAATTGTATCAGTCAAATTCCCTTATTTAAGGTGAATATTAAAGTAAATATAAATACAGCTCATTCGAAGCTCTACTTATCTTTAAGAAAAATTTAAATCATTGTTGCAATTGGGCCTTAATGCCATTTCGAATGAACAATAGTATTAATAATGTACATTATAATAATAATAAATTTTATATCATAGTGTGTATTAAAACTACTAAAACACTTTTAAATTGGTATTATATTAACAACTTTTGTTTTTTAATCCAAAAAAAGTTACCAATTTTCTCAATCAAAATATTTGTGGTCCTGAAAAGGACCTTCGTTTTCCCATGTTCGTCAAGGTAGGTAATGGGTAAACGGTAAAAAAACAGGATAATGAAATTTAAAAAATTACAAAAATTGTTCAAAAGTGCCTCCCTCTTGCATTAAACAATAACCCAAACGATCATAAAATCCCCTCCTCACATTGGATAACATATCAGGGGTGACAGTGTCAAAGGCATTAAATATTTTCTGCTCCAAGTTTTGAATATCTTCATGGCCGTAAATTTTAGATTTTATGTACCCCCATAAAAAGAAATCATTCACCGAGAAGTCAGGTGAAATTAAACGTCAGTCTAAACAAAACTGTCATTTTTGAAAACTTGTCAAAATTTGGACACACGCTAAATGGACTTGATTTTCCTATGTCTCGAAGTCTGTGGACTTTTCTGTATAATCTCACAGTAATTTAATAGATTGCTCGTCATATTATATCAGCTCGTAGGAGATTAGGAAAAAAAAAGATATTTATAGTATAAAAAATTAATTTATTTAACAAAATTTAATTAAAGATGTGACACAATAGTTACATTTCTATCGGACTTTTTTCGACTATATAAATCTTTATTTTTTGTAAACTTTAATGCATAAAATATTTTCAATCTAATAAATAATTTAATGATTTAATAAGAGGAAATTTCTCACATGGGTGGGGTCAAATTCTATAGTTTTCATTATATCAAACAGCCTCTGAATGTTTTCTTCAGTGCAAAACTCATCAAAATTTAATTTAAATAATTTTTCCAGCCTGTAAATAAAATGAACAAATTTTTCCACTTTCATGATCAAAGGCTTTTAAATGGGTAAATAATTTCGAGTTATCCAGAGATTCGGATTTTTTTGCAAATTTTAGACAAATATCACATTGATGTATTTGAACACCCTTTTTAATGATGTAGTCAAACATAATTAAAGGCATTTTGAGTTGAAAACATTTCTCAGAGGCTGTTTGATATAATGAAAACTATAAAATTTGACCACCCATGTGAGAAATTTCCTCTTATTTACATCATTAAATGATTAATTAGATTGAAAATATTTGATGTATTAAAGTTTACAAATAAAGATTTATATAGTCGAAAAAAGTCCGATAGAACCAATAGAAAGGTAACTATTTTGTCACATTTTTAATTAAATTTTGTTAAATAAATTAATTTTTTATACTATAAATATCTTTTTTTTTTCCTTATAAATAAACACATTTGCATCCCATTTTAAATAAGATATACAAATTACCAAAACTTAGAAATAACAGTTCAAAAAAAGTTTTTAAAAAGAAAGATATAACCACGCACTATGTCATTCCAGCAAGCGAATACGACACAGCATAGGTTTCCGGACTAAACGACTGGTGTATTTACACCACTCAATAGGCGTGTCGGGTTTGCCGAGCGGTTTCCGATGCAGTCGCTTTCTTTCGCATCTGTTGTAGTTAATTTGTGCCGAAACGTTGTGTTAATCAAAAATAAATAAATACAATGGAAGTTCGAAACTCGTTTATTTTCAGACTCATTTTTATAAAATTATGGTATAAAACTTAATTAATGCCAAAAAGGTCTTGCAGTCATTTAAACCCAATTCATTAAAAGCGGT